ATAGTAATATATACTAAATGATATATAGTACTAATTGTAATACTAATTAACTATAACTACAAATTAATATTAATACTATATTAATGCTAAATACTATATTAATACTATATTAATATACTAATATTAATACTAATTTTCTGTCTAAGAAATAAAAAGGGAGAAGAAACAGATGAATTTAGGTCATTTGCTCGATGTTAGTAGAAATATTTTTAAATATTTCACTAAAAAAAAATCGAGAGAGAGAAAGAAATGAAGAGAGAGCGATAGAAAAAAAAGAAAGAAGGAGGCCATTGCTCCTAATGATTAAAAGAAAAATTTATTGAAGATAGAAGATGACCTAAAAAAAAAGAATTTTTTTTTAAACAATCATCATCATCATCATCATCATCACCATCATCATCATCATCATCAACATCATCATCATCATCATCATCATCATCATCAACATCATCATCATCATCATCATCATCATCATCGTTGTCGTCATCTATTCTCTAATGATGTTTCAAATTTTAATTATATGTGAAATATTTTAATTTTTAATTTTTAAAATTTAATCGTTGCATTTGTAAGATTAGAATATATTCCATGTATGCTACAATTCCATTTAATCCTTCTTTTTTCTTTCTATTTATTCATTAAATTAAATTTTCTAAGTTAAGTAAATTCGTTTAATTTAATTCTTTTTTTTTTGAGTTATTAATTAAAACTTTTATCGACTTTTTCCGTTTAATTTTCACATATGTTTAAACATAGATTTCATGAAGAATGATTTGTGAAAAGCTCTATCAGTGTTTTGTTTTTTTTTTTTTTTTCCTTGCAAACGCTACAAATAGAGGTGTATTTTTTCAGTTTTCACAATGGATTTTTAGGTATGTCACAGTGTGGGCGAAATTGTCTCCATCCTTTCCTACCAAAGTTTATCTGCCATGGGTCAACGAGCAAAGGAAAGGATGGTGACAGTGATGTCATCAGGAACGTAGGTTATACTAGAGGACTAAACGAGCTCCATCTGACCGGTTTGGAATTAGACTTGTCTTTCGCTTACGTGATTATCGGGAGGATAGCTGCGTCCATTCTACCAAGTGGACACATTTTCTTCGACCCTTCAGCTGAAAACTGCCTGGCATGGGAGACCGGAAGCCTATACCGCCGCTAGCATAGTTCGTAACCGGATACGTATACCGCCGTCAGCATAGCACGAAACTTCATTAAGACATGCAAGCTTTTCTCCCGCGACAAAGAAGATGTCCACGGTGAAGATATGTATATATATATATATATAATTCTACAAGTTTTTCTTGAAATTAAAAAAATTTTCCGATTTGTTTACTTTTATTTTTAAATTTCATTAACATATAATGAATTCCAACAATATCTGCTTGTAATTTTGTATTTAAAAAAAAAGTGATAAGAATTGGAATAATCTCATTGAAAAGTTATTGAAAAATTAACAAACTTAAAAAAGAAAAAACTTAAAAAAAGTTTAAACTTAAACGTTTTTTTACGTTTTTTTTTAAACTTAAAAAAAGTTTATCGATGATTTAATTCACCAATAAATTTAACTCAGTTATTTTACTCAGTGGCTTAACTCGACAATTTAATTCATTGATAAATTTGACTCGATTATTTAACTCATTGATAAATTCAGTTCGATTATTTAACTCGCTGATAAATTCAACTGATTGTTTATACTCATTGATAAATTTAACTCGATTATTCAACTCGCTGATAAATTCAACTCGATAATTTAATTCGTTGGTTGATATTCAGCACTATAAACCACTGATAGTTTAACAGACAAATGAGCCGAAAGAATTAAACGATATTGATAAAATGACTATGATAAGTTTAATTGTTAAATTTAGCGCCTAATTCGACTCATCATGTATACGCTACTATCAAAAAAAAAAAAAAAAAGAAAAAAGGATAACTAAATTTCAATTTAGGAAAACTTTTGTCCAAAGAATGAATAAATGAATGTCCATCCTCTGTTTGTACTAACGATACAACTATTAGATGATTAAGGTTATGGTACTACTTGATATCTCTAAAAATTCTATGGTACTATTGATTTTCTCAGCAGGTGCTTTATTAATTAAGCTTATATTGTTAAGATCATTCCTCGGTTTACAATGTTAACTGCATTACTTCTGAAATAGAAATAAGGATTAATTCAGGTTCAGGTCATCTGCGCTATTCACTCACGACATTTTAGCTCAGGTTACTAATCATGAGTTCATTGTTGGAGGAATGAAAGAGATAGATGCATTTCATAATGTACCATTTGCGGATTAAGGATGACATGCACTTATCTTTTTACCGTATAAGAATGCAGTGTATGTATTTTGTTCGCTCAATGAAATTTACTCTTCCAGTAAGATTTGCCTGTCCAATAAAATTTGCTTCTCCAGTAAGGCCTTGTCAATAAGATCTTATTTCCACAACAAAATTTTTTTCAGTAAAATTTGGTGCTTTAACAGTATTGCTTTTTCTGTAGGGACTTATTTTTTGCAATAGAATTTATTGACTATGATGAATAACTAAATTTATGCTCTTTTTTGCCGATTACAATGATGTCATTCGAGTGTTCAAATTCAATATTTATCCAGAGAGAACACAATTTGGATAAATATTTTGCAAATAAAGTGGCTTGATTAACATGCTGACTACGATGTAAATAAGAATGAGAGAGAATATGTGTTTGATTTTTAGCATCATAATAATATGAACCAGTTGAAAATATTTACTACTCAAGTAAGGCGAAAACTTTATTTGATATCGAACCAATAGATTTGTAGTTTATTACGAATATTTCTTTCATTCGCTTGTACTACCATCCAATGTAGTACACTTTTTTTTAGTTTTTTATTTTATCGCTCTTTGATTATTCGACTATATTTGCTGTTGTGAAATATGTAAATAATACTCAAAAAAGAAACTATATGCATTAAGTGAGCTGTGTCATTGTCATATTCGATTCTTATTCTGCTTTCACATCTATATGCTCTTTTATTATTCCCCTCCCAAAAATGATCATAAGAAAGCATGGAATGCTTATACCTTTATTTATTTTGTTCCAAAAAAATATTATATCACTAATGAATCAACAATAATATAGGGTTAAGGTAGATAGTTGGTTTTGTTTTTTTCATTTCGTTTGGTAATTGTTAAATGCTTTATTAATGTAATGATTTCTCCCTCTTTATAGCTTTGGGTAAGATTTGAAGTATATGGGAGTCGTCGTGTACTTCAGTTGCAGAATTGTCGCTTCATTCAGTTATTGGAAACGAAAAAAAAAATGCACCGCGTTGTCAACCGATGAATCATGAATCGATCGTTTTCTGCACTTCCCCTGAGTTATAACCATTCTTTGCTACGTTCATTGGCATTTCTTCTGATACTGTTTTGAAAGTTATTGTGATCAAATGATTATCATTATACTGTTGTATTGCATCTCTAATTATTGTAATCACGAATCAGTATCTGATCATCATTTTTATCACTGGTTTTAATGATTACATATTTCAATAAGCATCAAATTGTTATTCAGTTGTTATTTTCGTTACTTGTTAATAAGTGCATATTTTCGTTATCGTGTAATTTAAATGATGTATTTCGCAATTCTCGCCCTTTCGTTATTACAAATGCATTATATTTTTCGAAATTTTGTTTTTTGGTATTAATGTAATTGATTTTTGTTTTTATAGATCAGAATATGTTGATGAAAGCGATTTTATTGCTGGTCATTACTTTGATTTCGCTTTGTCAATCTGCTAGCCGAAATTTGATTACACTAAACGAAGAAACATGGACCGACATATTGAACGGTGAATGGATGGTTGAATTGTAAGTATTTTTTTTTTCAATTGATGGATAATTGAAAATGTGATATAATGAGTCAAGTCTACCACTAAGCTAACTCTTTTTTATATTTTCTTATGCCTCTTATTTATAATTTTCTTTTGCAATACTTTCATTATGTTTGTGTCCTCATTTTCGAACCTGTGTCCCTATATGTCAACTCTCTGAGTCATTTAACCTTGAGCATTCTGTTTGTAACTTCATAGACGATACACACTTGTGTTTTACGGATATATACTTCAAAAAAAAAAGGAAAAGAAAAAAGAGAAATTGGATAACTGTATTGTCGCGAACATATTTCTCCACGGTTCTTCGGAATATTTGTAATTATCGAAAATAGTTTGTCGAAGGCTTATGCAAAGGGTTTAATTTTTCTGTTTTTATAGCCGTAGTAGAAAATTTTTTGTATTTCTTTTATACTTGTGTTGCTTTTTTGCAATTCCCTTCTTTATTTGAAAACCATTTCAGTCATGCCCCATGGTGTCCAGCTTGCAAAGATTTACAAAAAGCATGGCATGCATTTGCCGACTGGAGCAAGGATCTTAATATCAATGTTGCTGAGGTTGATGTTACCGTAAATCCGGGATTATCAGGCCGTTTTCTTGTTACTGCACTTCCCACCATCTACCAGTAAGTAATATCTTGTTCTGTTTTTCCATGACGTTATCTCATAAGCAAAGCCATAACTTGACCGGCATCAAATAATGTTTTTTTAGTGATTTTCCTTTCTTGTTTTCCAAGTGTAGTTGTGGTTGATGTGGACCGATAAGGTTCTTTTGTGTACTAATACTGGTACAGCAGTTTCCAAATTTTGAAAATTTTTCATCTGTTTTAAAAGGAGGAAAAGAAATGAAGGGAGAGGCACTGTTGGCTATACGTAGCTTGTTAAGCTTTTAAATTAATAGTTCTAGAATTTTATTTAGATAAAATCTGCACCGTAATGTAGATAAATTTTAGTGTGAAGGACGGTGTATTCCGTGCTTATGCAGGACCTCGTGACAAAAATGATTTTATCAGTTATATCGAGGAAAAGAAATGGACCTTCTATGATCCTATTCCAAACTATAAGTATCCAAGCTCACCGCAGTAAGCGTCTTGCTTGTTTGTGGTAGTAATTTTAGGGGGATTTTCGAATAATTCACCGTTATTATAAGTTCTAATAATTGATGATAGTTTGATGATCCATTCATCTTAGAATTTCTTATTACAAAAATATGCAAATGGATATTGTTTTCTAACCATGAATTGTTAGTTTTTGGTATAAACGTATTTATTTTAGGATGTCAGTAGTGGCTTGGTTCTTCAAATTATCGATGTTTGTCCGTGACAAGCACAACTATTTAGTTGACGAGGGTTTGTTCTTTTCATACTTTGTTTTTAAATTTGTCTTTGCCTAATAATTTTCAGGAAATTTTTATTCCTGAATCACTTTTTCATTTTTAATGTCATTTCTAGTGGTATTTTTAGTAAGTTCTAAAGGAATTTTATATTATTAGCTAGTCGCTGAGCCATATCAGTTATACAATGTCTCAGTCAGACTTTAGTAAAAGCTCCGAAATTTCTGAGGAGCATGAGATCGAAAAAATTAATGCAAAAAAAACAGTGAAGCCGAAATTCCACTCAGTTCAAGATTTCAAAGTCTTACTGAAGTATTTTTGAAATTAATGAACCTATCTTTAGTGGGTATACCATCGTGGGCCTCATATTCCGTATTTGCTGGTATAACTTTGGCTTTGGGCTGTATACTTGGATTTTTCATTGTCTGTATCATTGATCGAGTTTTTCCTACTGGTGAACAACTTCCTAAAGCGGAAAAGAAATCAACAAAGAAAGATCAAAAAGCTAAATCTAAAAAGGTATAATTTCATTATTTTCATCTATGGAGCTAGCTGGCCAGAAATCGTGGGACAATTTTTTATAGAAATTTTCGATTATAATATGTTTAGGGGCTGCTGGATTCCTTTAACCAGTGGCAAAATTGATTTGGTGGTTACCGAAGTCAATGTTAGTAACTGAAGGTGTTTGAAATTAGCTTCTGAAATTAATGTGCTCTTAATGAAAATGATCCGTCTCGCAGGAATATTGTCATTTTAATTTTGATGTTTTTATAACTTGTGAGCGAGTTTTAAAATTTGAGAACTAGAATTTTCAGTATTTTCTTATAGTTCATTATTTGGATAAGGGTGAATTTGCAAAAATATTGCTTAGGTTTTGATTTCCTCTGTCCGAAAAGTCTTGGAATCTGTTTTTTAATGAAAACATAACCTTGAGGGACTAATTCTATTGTTTCCTTGACAGAGTATCATTATTTTTTCCTGAATGTTCATTTGAATATAAGCGATTCGTACTTTGTTTTCTTTCAGTAATATTAATCCGCCATCATTCTTTTATCACACTCTTCCCTTCTCATCCGAATGATTCGTTTTGCAAATATTTAAAAAAAAAGAAGACTTTATAGGATGAAGGGAAGAAAAAAGACGACGATCAGTCACAGGATGAGAGGAACTCTCAGGACGGTCCGTGTTCCTTTCTTAATTATTCATGTTTAGCTTTATTGTATGAAAATTTAAGGTTCTCGTATTCATTTTCTTATATTCGAAAGATAAAATATAGCAGCTGTTCAATAGAGGTTTAGTATGTGTTGCATTCGGAGCTCAAATTTTAAAAAAACAAAAAAGAAAAAGAAAAAAAATGAGATCCATGATAGGATCGAAAATGCAAATTTTTGGATTAAATGATTTTCATAATGCGACATATTTGATGGATATTTAAACGGGTTGTTTTTAGAAGAATCAGCCGATGAAAGTATGCGAAATAGGAAAGGTGCCAAGAGTGAAGCAAAGAAGAAAAAGTTATTTAAGAGTTAATCAAAATATTCATTAAAATATTATTTGAACCACTTCGATCCTTATACAGTGCGAAAGCGGTCTTAAGGAGCAGTATACTTGTTCGCTAAGTAATTTATGTTCGCTTACGGTATTAGCGTTGTTGTTGTCGATTCACATCGATGAATTTGCTATTATCACTTCCTTATGTTTGTTCAATTTCTACGGATCTTCCGAAGGAATCCGTTATCTTTCTCTCTTATTTGTATTTAATTTTTTGTTGATAGCATTTTACGTATTATTACTAGCATATATCAGTTGTTAATTTTTCAACTCTACTTTTTTCTCATTTCTATAGGCTTGTTCATCTTAGTAATTTATTATTATTATTATTCTAAAAATAAAGGCATATTCGTAGTTATTTGTCAGTATGAAAACTTCATAAAGAATTTTATATTACCCATTATCCCGTTTCTTTAGGAAAATATTGCATTGAAATAACTTATTTATGTGAATATGATGTGTAGGATTTGAAGTCCTATTTGTATTCATGTATCAATACGTAGTGGTTTCTTTACATTAATACGGCATTCAATTGTAGTAACTTTATACATGTTAAATTCATGTTAAATTCAGGCTAAAAGAAAATGTTTATCATCTAATTTTGTAAAAATAGATCGAAAACTAGATCAAAATAGATCAAAAACTTGCTTAAGCAAGTTAATTTGCATAGCCGTATAACTGTTACATTCTTTTCATTCTATGTAGAATGCATTTTTATTCATTACGCTATGACCTGTCTGGTTTGTTGCACTCCGCCCTAGATGAATGATTGGCTTAATTCATTACGCTATGCCTAATTAGGGTTTTTTTTCTTGATTAAGTAACTAGAAACTTTTTTCTAACTAACGTGGAATTGTATTCCCTACAATGTTAATTTTGCACCTTGTATCACTATTACTTTATTTTTGGAAAAAAGTAGTGCTCTTTTTATTATTTTATTTTATGTTTATGATGGAATTTCAATTTTTTCATTCCTTTCTATATTGTGTCATTTTATGTCATTCCTTTCTGTTTTGTATGCTTACTTTTCATTTGCTTATTTTAATCCTACCAGTTAAAGTTATGAAACTTCATCATCTAAGCGATGAAAATAAATTTTTTTAGCTTTTCTATTCGAAGTAGTCTTTTAGAGCTTTCGGTCATATTGAACCGTTGGTAACATTTTAACATTACAAATTTTTTGTTAGAAGAAATGAAATAATTGTACTGATATTCCTACCAGATTCAATCAGTATATATACATTCAAAATATGCTCGAAGTTTTAATTAAGGTCGGATTTCTATTTTATATTCCCATGCTACTGCTAAATATTGAATTGAAAATGTCAGCTTGTATCAAACCAAATTTCTCTTGTGTACTGAGAAACATACCACATGGTTAAATTAGTTAGACTTTTTACCGGCTTTATATCCTTCATGATAGGAGTTAGGTAGCATTCTTTCACTGAATAATTATTTTCTATGGAGAAAAATAATCCTTGATAATATAGGTACTGGAGAATTCAGTTATTAAGTATGTTGATTTTCAGGATTAAAGGCAATGCCGAGTCCTGCTCAATGGCTTCCACTAGAATCAAATCCGGAAGTGATTACAAATGTAAGAATTTCATATTTCACAGATGAAAGTTAACTTTTTTTTCTTCTGTTTCTTATGCTTGGTCATTGCAAGGTGTTGTAATATCATTAGGTTCCTCTCGAAGTTGTCCGAAAAATTAGTATGCAGTGATATTAGATCAGTTTCCTGCGTAGTTTTTTGATTTTTCCTGTTCGGAATAGGGCGGGAAAGCTTTGATCGGTATTATAGATTATAAAAGATATCAGTAATAGTTTCTTTTCTTTTTTTTTTACACAACCAGGGCAAGACGTTCACGGGATGGGAGGAACTCTCCTGGCCACAATTTGAGAGAGCTGAATGATTTTAGGATCATCAAGAGAATTGGGTCAAAATCTAACCGTTGCAACGTTAACCCGTAGACTATAATGATTTTGGGAGGATACTTATCGTGCATGAAAAATATTTTTCATTAACATATTTTCACTTAGCAATTACTGATGATCGTCTCGTGAAAATAGATGATAAATATAACATTGTTAAAGTGAAATTATATTCCTTGCTTAATGTTTTTTTTTCCAATTCTAGTTTATGCACAAAATTGGTGTGGAGAAAGGAGTAGAATGTGTGGATATATACAGTTTTGAGGATGATATATTGGCTTTCATACCACGACCGTGTTATGCGGTTATGTTGTGCTTCCCGATGGTTGACAAGGTGTTGTTTCTTTTTTGCTAAATTCGAAGTAGTCTATGATAGACTATAAGCTAGTTTTTGGAATAAGTGGGTTTAGCTTCTAGTCCTTTTTGGCTCTTTCTTTGTCATTAGACCTGAACTTTGCTTTTTTTCCCCGTGAAATTCCAGCCTCAAGTCTTTGATAAATTTGATTAAGAACTCTCTTTCTAAAAAACGAAAAAAACGAACTTTCTCATATGAGTGGATTGTTTAGGTTGATGAAATCATGCAACCTATCTATGAAAAAATGAAAGAGGAAGGGAGCGTAGTACCAGACGGTATCTTTTTTATGAAACAAAAAATATCAAATGCTTGTGGAACTTTTGCGCTGATTCATTCGCTTGCCAATAATCAAAACAAAATTAATCTTGGTTAGTTAATGTCAATTTCACTGTTACAGAAAATCCCATTCCTGAATATCTATCAATTTTGTAAGTAAATTTCCGTTGTTATTTCGTTCGGGCTTTGAACCTTTCCCTCTCAAATTTGTAGTCATGTTTTACTTCTCTTCCAATGAAATTTTCAATTTTTTGCTAGAAAGGAAGCGAGGAAGTAGAGATGTATTGCGCGCTTTTATTATAATAGTTTGCGTTATCAAATAAGGACGGATCAATGGAATAGAATTAAACACAATTTTTTCTAGATATGTCTTCGAAATCACAAAGATCAAAATGCCGTTTCACGGTTATGGAATCGTATATCTACGTAGGTTTATTGAAGGTGATGGATCACTGAAACAATGGTTAGATAAAGCAGTATCATTGGGTGTTGAAGAAAGATCTGATTCGTTGGCCGAAAACTCAACACTTGCGGAAGCTCATTATGACTGCGCTCGAGGTGGTGAGACCGATTCGAGCGCGCCTATTGACCATCATTTCATCTGTTACCTTAACTATGGGGATAAACTGCTCGAACTTGGTCGGTTATTTGTTTTAAAAAAAGAAAAAAAGTGTAAATCTTGGATACTACATCGCAGGCTTATTAGTTCTTTCTAGATTATTTTTTTCTCAGTAAGCTCCAGAAATAGGTCGGATAATGAACGAAATCTTGAAATTGAGGATGTTTTATATTTGGAATTGGAAAACACCATAATATTAAAGTTCACAAATTTTGCAGATTCTCGTGCTCCATCTCCTCGTATTTGTGGTTTGACCAGCGATGCAACGTTCCTGAAAGATGTTGGAAATTCCTGCAAGACATTGATGAACAAATTGGACAACATATCATTTAGTGCGCTTGCTATCGTTCGTGCGTCCCATTAATTGCTGTTCGGTTTTGTCTACTGTATAAGCTTTTTGTGGCTTGCTTCAGTATGTTATTTTGTAATTTCTCTTCCCTGCACATATCTTTAGCAATTACATTATGAACTGATTATGTCATCTTTTTGCACCATTTTGCTTATTTTTCGCTGTTATTATAACTGATAAATGCTATTTGTGACAAAATATTGTTACATCTGTTAGCTAACATCTTTAATTAACAGGATAGAAAAGACGATGTACACTAATGGAAAGGAATCATAAGTCTAAAAGATTAATCGATAACGAAGTATCATGACGATGCGATATATAATCGGCACATCCATACTGCCTATATAACTCTTTATCACTTCACATCGAAAATTAGCTAGTTATAGATTTGTCAGACTTAACTAATTAAGGTCATCAATCCTTTGTAGTGTTTGGCAAATACAAGTCTTATAGATACATGTTTTCTGAGATTTCTGACTAAAATTCCCTTATATTTTACCGGTTATTCTGGCAGTTATCTTTGCGACTGTGAGCCATTTCAAGCTATGTTGATATGATGATTAGAACTCTTTTTTCTTCCGAAAAGATCTACTTTGTAGTTAATGCCATGAAGAACTCTCGGGATATCTCGTGGTTGAACAACTATGCTCTTGTTTTTGAAAGAGCAAAGAAGGGATTACTGATTTGTCCAGATGCTTGGAATGATCCAAATATCCGATTATATATTTATTCTCGAATAGCATTTTGTTTCCACTCCTAGTTTACGATATGTAGGTAGATCCTGTGTAGTACAGTATACTCCCTTGAGTATTACAGTACCCTTCGTAATTAGCACAGATAGAGGGGGAAAAAGTTACGGTTTTCAAGTTTTGTAGAAAAAAAATAATCATTATTAAAGAATATGCTGATAAAGAGATGATGGTTCATCAGAATCTCAAAAATAATCTTATTTTTAGACACTTGATAAAAACCTCAAGACAATCATAAGCTTACGATCAATTAAAGCACGCTTGAATAACTCATAGGTTTGGTAATTTAATATTTCCTCTCGTTGTTTATTCTTGAATTAAGCTAAATTAATTAATTATTAATCACTTTACAGTCAGTTAGTTCATAACAGAACTATTAGAAAACGAAAAATGATCGAATGTTGGAAACATTCAGGTAAAAATGCTAAATACATTTTATGTCTCAAAAAAACACAATTTTGATTGGTCAATTTCAACAACAATCATTTTGTAATTCATAAATGATTTTTGATCAATTTATTGAAATATAATAGCATGTAAAACCATACGGCAAATAGTTTAAATTTTTTGTTACCCAAAAAAAATTACACTAAATACTACCAAAAACAATCTAATTAAAAATTCTAGCAATAATTATATAAGGAAAATAATGGTATTATAGAGTTATACAGTATGATATTATTCAATGATTGCCTTAATGATAACATATTGCGGCATACTGTAGTCAACTGTCGTTCAAGAGAAAAGACGGAAAAATTACAAAAAAGTGTTTAAATTAAAAAAGAAATGAACGAATGTTCAGTCCATTCGCAATTAATTAATTCATTAATTGCAAATGTTTTTATAGTTCGCTTTTTTTTTCTTCCACTTATTTTAATTACATTTGTTAAAATGGGAGTCATAATTAGTAGATGATGCTGATCAAATTAATTAACAATCTTTTACTAAGCTAGATTATTAATACAGTATTATTTATGAATGCATCCTATATATGGATGGAATCTTTCGAATGATTAAACGGTAAATTATGCATTCATATTTGATATTTTCTTTTTTCTTATATCAATTATTCGTTAATTTATCTCTTGTTTCATTAATTATAATTTTGAAAAATTCATTGATTATTTTTCAAAATTTATTTAATTATTTTTTATAATTGACATCTGTTTACGTGCATTTATAATTAACAAATTACTTGTCATTTTAAATTTCTGCCTCATTTTTCTCAAATATCAATGTTTTAGGCATTTTCTAGTATTTAAAATGATGTCTTTATGAGTGACAAAGAACAACAAAAGAAAACTGGATTATGCTTTCTTCGTTGAGATTGGTAGTGATAGTAATTATGATGATAATAAAGAGTTAAACCATGCTCATTAATAAGTGGTAATAATAATGGTTTTGATGATAAGATGAAAAGTTTGACTATGCTTCCTTACTGATAATTTGTTAATATACGGCTGATAGAAGACAATAAACCCAGTTATTATGATGATAAAAAAAATGGTAGTAAATGATAATAATAAAGAAAAGGAAGAAGCATCCACTTATAAGATGATGCTAAAGCATAATCATATCATTTATCTTTTCATTACATAACACTTAAATTTCAATTTATCGTACTATACTTTATCTACTTTATCGATTTTGAATATTTAAATATTTCAAAAAAAATTTTTTGAATATTTAAAAAGAGTTACATTTTAAATTTAAAAAAGGAAAATTAAATAAAATAAAATATTTTATCAATTTAGACAACGTCAACTTACCCATCTTTCAAATGGTAATTTGGTTTATTGTATCGTATCAATCGTATGACTAATAGTGTCATCGTTCTAGTCGTTCCACTTTCATCAATTCATGCATTCATTCAAATGATACAAAAAAAAAATGGAAAATTTTTAATTAAAAGGAATTTGCGTTTTTCTTCTTTCTTTTTACATGCTAATTTTTTTTTTTATGGTTGTAGTTTTTTTTTAAGAAAATATTTCGTGAACTTATACTTTACATACATGCAAATAATGAATTGCATGATGAATTTCAAGCAAATACCTTTTCTGTTTATTTTTTTTGTTTGTATGTTTATTTGTTTATTCATTAATTTGTCTGTTTGTTTACTCGGTCATTTATTTATTCGTTTATTTATTTACTTATTTATTTATTCACTTATTCGTCAGTCCATTCATTTATTTGCTTATTTATTTATTCATTTATTTACTTATTTGTTCATTTATTTATTTATTTATTTATTTATTATACATTTATTTGTTTACCTGTTTACTTGTTTATGTACTTATCTGTTTATTTATTTATTCGTTTATTTATTCATTCATTCATTCATTTATTTATTATACATTTATTTATTTACCTATCTATTTGTCTACTTATTTAGTTGTCTGTTTATTTATTTATTCATTTGTTTATTTGTTTGTTTGTTTTTTTGTCTGTTTGTTTGGTTGATTGGATGTTTTTTTGCATATTTGTCTTCCTTGTATTATAATCATATATTTATAATTTGGACACAAATCAGCCCAGTATATGATTGTTTATTTCGTTTTGTTTTCGGGTGTATTTATTACATTTAGATTATTTCATCAAAATCATTATCCACACATTTTTGATCGATGATATATTTAAAGTTTTAATTGTTTACCTGCTATCAATTAAATCAGCATAAACATTAGCTAATAATTTATGAAAATGAAGATATTACCATTTTAAGCTTTAGCACTTTTTGAATTTAATTTCTTTTTTTTATTTTTTTCAGTCTCTTGATGTACACAAAAGCATATACATCCTTATATAAACTTTATCACAATTAACTTGAAAAAAAATAATTTAAAATGTCACAGTAATTTTTATGTATTTAAATTTTTTATTGTTTACCGACAATCAATTAAATTGTGGGAAAAGCAATTATAATATCTCCGAGAATTTCATACCGTTATTCGAGATTTAGTCATTTTCTTCTGTGCATTTTGTTATAATTGCATTTCATTTCCAATTGATTTTCATTTCTATAGCAAACAAACTGATTATTCGATATCTAGTAAATTCAGTACATCTATACTCAATATTTTAAATCATGTGCAATAGTAATTAGCAAAAATAAGAAATTTTGAGAAGGGGAATTAAAATTTCTTCGAGAATTTCATATCATCAATCGAGATACAGTTATATGCATATGCAAACCATATAGTTAAAATGATCTTTTTTTTTGACATTGATGCTATATACTTCCAGAATGAATGATCAAAGTATTAAAAAAATCAGATATTCCGAAAAAATATTTAATTCATCATTTAATTCATTGAAAGGTTTCCATTCTTAGGAAATTTGCTATGCATTTGAAAATTTACATACTCATTTGGTATATAACAAGTATATATGGTATATTAATTAGTAAACATATATCAGTTAATCAGTTAATGGATGACGTCAATGAATCGATCAATTGGCAAATAAGTGAGCAAAATCAGTCAATCAATTAATCGATTCATTCATTCATTTATTCAAATCGATCAATGAATCAATTAATCATAAATTAGTTAATTAATCAGCTTATTTTATTTATTAATAGTCACGTATTTTCCTAATACCATATTCATTTGATAGTATACTGAAATGGATAACCAATGCATATACAAAAAAAAAAAAAAATACGAGATGATATCGATCTTTTAATCTTTTATTTGCCCGATCAGATTATTATCTTTTCTTTTTTTTTTATCAATACATAGATAAGATAAGTAAGATGATCTCCCCGACTTTTCTTTCTTTTTTTTTTCATCAATAAACAATGTAAGTTAAAGTAATAAAGTGAAATTGGCGACATCTGAATGATTGGGAAAGACGAATGACAGGAATGATAAAGAAAAAAAAATGGGCAAAAGTATTTGAAATAATTAAAGGGTAAGAAGAGGAAGTGAAAGAGAGGGATCAAAGATCATTCATTCTACATAAATTTCTGATTCTTCTTTCCAACCAAAAATGAAATACCTAATTTTATTGTTATAAATTTTTTTCATTCCTCTTTCTTTCATGCCATTACTTCTATTCGTTCTATTCGTTTTTCTTTTTCTCCCACTCTATCCTAATTATTCAGTAATTAGTTAGCTTAATTTCTCATAAAAGCTATCAATAGGTTTTTTTAAAATGGAGAGAAAAACTTATCTATTTGGTAGTTTTTCAATACGGACAGAAAGAGAGAGTTTGATTGGATTAAGCTTTTGTTTAATTGATTCGTTTAGTAAAAAGGCAATTAATTGGCGATAGAAGATAAAAATGTTAGTTAAAAATTAAAAATGATAGTGGAATAATTCATGCTAGAGTAAGAAATTTGTTATCAATGGAATTAGATAAGTGACGGAAAATATTAGTTAACTAGTTTAAATAACAAATATAATCAATAGATTGGTACAATTTCTTCTTAGCTATAAACTGGATTGTAAAAAAAGAATGTGCTAGTTATTTGTGCCTAATTAAAACAAGTAAAAAAAGCAAAGTAAGCTAATTATTAAACGTTGCAAGACAAAAGACTTTTGTTTTGAAACAAATTAATTAAACAAAAGCGATAAAAATATCCAATTTTTAAAATATAATTTCAAATATTTAATTGTTTAAATATTTTTAATTTCCAGAATGAAACTTCGTAATTCGCTAATTAATATGCTAGGTGAATTTATTGGTCTTCATAAAACACCCGATTTCAAATTGAATGCTCAATCATCACAAGCTATTATTGAAGCAGTAGCTGCAGAAACAAGACGTTATTCAATATCAATGAATTATCACTCATCAGATAATAGTGTCACCAATTTTTTTTTCTTTCCATATAACTTAGAAAAAAAATTGAAGTAAGTGAAGCAAATGAAATGAATTAAGAAAAAAGTAAGTGAGATTGGAGTGAAGTAAGTTTTAAATTATGCAAAAACCATACTTTAATTTGATAATGAAATATGTGGTATAAATGATGGAAATTTGCAATCTATCATTATGATTATTAGTGATTATTCATAAATTGTAAGTATTATTAGTGCCCTTATCTGTAACTATTACAGATATATGCAGCAGTGCATCAACGATCATTCTCGACGAATAGTATTCATGAAAGTAATGAATTGATAAATATGAATCCATCATATCGACGCCTTTCAGAGCCCACTTGTTTGCCGTCACTTACGCCACCCAGACGTCGTCATATTGAGCAACGATTGCACGTACATTCTCGTTAGTTAGTACTGTATTCAGTTTTGTATTGATTAAATTTACCATACTCGTACAGCACAAACGTCACTCTCATCATCAATAATCATATTTACTGTATATTATTACAATTATACAGAATTTGGTATGGTACCGTAATCATCAAGATTAGTCCATTAAAGTGGAATAATCAAGTTTTGTGTATTATCATAATCAGTAGGCTTGCTACAATTACATTTCCATAAAATACAATTATATTTTCATGGTAACGAAGTGATTAAAAACTACGATAAAAATTCGAAGATACTGTAATAGTTATGGAAATGTCAATTAGGTGATGCTTAACGGATAAGACAGGAATTTCTCCCCAGTTCTTTTTTTTTAATGAAATTTGTCAAAAGAATTAAGAAGAGAAAAATTCCACTAAGCAAGGTCATTAATTTGACAAAATTTCAAATTAGTTTTGTCAGCAAATTTTTTCCGACTAAAAAAAAGTGAAAAAAAGACGAACAATTGAAATTGTCAACATTTTGAGCATTATCTCAATAATTTATTTAAAAGTAATTTTAACTTCAAACATTTGAAAAAGAAAGATTAAAAAGTGTAAAAAAAAAAGAAAGAATGATATTAGCCATAATATGAGTTATCAGAAAAGAAAGAAACTTTCAACTGGTTTTCCTTTTCTCTTTCTCTCTCACTTTCTTTTCGATCATAAATTCTAATAATGATTGGTTTTCCATTCCTTACAGTTACAATGCTAACTTTTCTCTTATCTCATTTAAAATTTAAATTTATAAAAGAATTTGGAATTTCTGAACATTTCCATCGTTTTTTCTTTTCTTTTCCTTTTTTAGCTGCAGTATTTTCTCCTCTTTCATTCTTTTTCCAGTAAATTTATCTCTCGATTTTTCATTTTTTAATTCAATTCCCGTGAAAATTTCATTTCCTACTTTTACTGCTTTTAAATTAATTGGAAAAAAATCTTAACTGGGAACTTTGGGACTTCATTTTGAGAATATTAATTGGGGATTTTTTTTTTTGGGAACAAATAATTAGTTTTTGCAACAGATTTATTTCAACAAATAAATTTCATTACTCATTTAAAAAAGTGGAGGAAGGGAAAAGGGAAGAGAAAAACGGAGATGAAGAGTGGAAAAAAAAACAGTTTTATCTTAATTTTCAATTAAAAATCCAAAACTGGTAATTGATGTGTATGGCTGCAAATGAACATTAAACATTGTGCTAAATTTTAATTAATTAACAATTGAAAACCTCCAACCTTCTAGAAAAAAATTTAAATTAGTGAATTACAAATTTAACCTGAAATAAAGAAATTTTTACAGATAAAAAGAAATCACGAAAACAGAACATACTGAGCAGTTTTTTTGGAAGAGATGATAAGGAAGTAAACATTGATAATGATACGAATGATCGACGATCAAAAGGACACACCAGACGAGATTCTGAAACATTTGCTGCGGGGTACTCAAATAATTTGAATACCATTAATACAAGGTTGTAATCTATAAGTAATCGGTTCGAATACTATACGAATATATTCTATAGGTTTCACTTTATTTGTTGATTAGAATAGGAAAAAAAACTGGGAAAAATATTTTAAAGAAAAAACAACAAAACCAAAAATAAGTAATTTGCCTGTTCTAATTAACTTTTATTATAAATAATACAAATAATGGTCCATTCTTATGACCTGTCAACTTCTGACATAAAACAAGTTGTGTGTGTTCTGTGAATAAAAATTATCATTTGTTCATTTGATTTAATTAAAAAAATTTACATAAATGGGTAAAAAATATTGTGGCCAATTTGAAGTCGAATGTATCGAATGATTGATCTCTTGCCGTCTCGTATCTTTATTTCTTTGTATTTATGATTTTTAATAAAAAAACCTATCAATTAAAAGTGCGGCCATAATTAACACAGCATATCGTTCAATTATTGACTTCGACAGAGGGTTTTTTTACAAAAATTACCGTGTAACAACTTATATTGATTATTTGTGTGTTCCTGTGTGTGGTACCACATATCAGTCACTGATAAGTGGTACCATACACTCAACATTTCATACCACTTATCTACCTGTGGTGCCGTCTAAATACGGTATTTCACATCAGTTATCTATCTGTGGTACCATATATCTATCATTCATCTATATACGGCATTTCATATTACTTATCAGTGGTACCACATATTAGTCATCCAAACACAGCATTTTATGTTGATTATTTATCAGTGGTACCATATACCATACACTTAAATATCGCATTTCATATCGATTATCATCCACGATACCACAAGCTAATCACCTAAACACGATACTTCGAACCAGCCACCTCACCGTGGTATCTTAAATCATGATCAGGCAAAGTTCACAGTAACATCGGAAATGACCGGTGGTACTTTGCGGTTGGACAATTTTATAAGATTCATCTCTCTTACTGCGTCTGTATTGGTTCGGGTTGTAAGGCAGGTAGGGACACTGACTTGGGTCAAAAGGTCAAGAGGGGTCAAACGAGGTTACAAAATGGATCACATTGGACTAGATTTTTAGGCTGTGTATTACTTAAACTTTAAGTATGATATTCAAGTATGATGTTATGTCTGAAATTTATTCATAAGTTTTGTACGTTTTAATATTAAATAAACAAATTTGCAATTTATATGTTTAATTCGAAATAAATAAGAATTACTTCAATGAATACATTTCAGTGTTGGCATATTAGTTTTAATTCTTAATACAAATACTAACTATTGAAGAGATGCAACATACAAGAAAAGCCTTGGGTTGTTTGTATGGACAGGTAATCGGTGATTCATTAGGATCGCGGTATGAATTTCAACCTGCCTCAGTAGTTCAACAAATGATAATCAATGATTCGGTACAGTCTTTCCTACCGATGATTGGTGGTGGGCCGTTTCAATTATTACCAGGACAGGTTTCTTTATCTCTTTATCATTATTATTTTTATTGTTATTCTTATTGCTTTTATCATTGTTATTATTTTTTTATCACTGTTGTTATATTGATATTCAGCCATGCAACTTTCTATTGCATTACCGATAATTTCATTAGAAAATTGCAATAAGATGGATGTGTTATCCATTTTCAAAATCATCATTTCCAAAATTATATCTTGTTTTTCTCATCCTGAAGAAAAAAGAGCAGTAGGAGAAGGAGAAGAAGACAGAATTCTATTATTCCAAGAAGATATTTGGTTCGTGGAATTTTGGAAAATTTATAAATTTGTTTATAGCTGTAATTGATTGATCGATAGTTTCATTTTGTAAAGTTTTGAAATGTTAATAAAAGTCAATAAATCTTATTATCGCAAGTTATAACCGAAAATAAAATTATGAATGTGAAGAAAAGCTGGAAATTTGAAGATATTCCTGCAAAAAAAGAAAAAAACTTTGGTGGTCCTACAATAAGGAAAAAAACAAAAAAATGGAATAGTTTCTTTCTTTGTTAAATCGATCTTTCTTTTCCAATTAAAAGTATCATTTCCAATGCTTAGTATTTGGAAATGATTAAATGAACTTTTCGGTAACGGATGATTCTGAAATGGCTCTTTCGTTGGCTTCAAGCTTAATCCGTTGTGGTACTTTTAATGCTGCTGATGTTGCTTGTAGCTATGTATTCTGGAGTCAGTCTAAACCACCGGATATTGGGAAGGCCACTCGAAATGCGCTAACTATTGGTATCCGAATTTACCATATTATTTACTACTATGCCGTTAAAGTTATCAATCCGTCTCGTAAATCATTAATTGTTAGTTAGTTTACCAAAATTTTGAAGTAGTGCAGGATGCTATGACATGGTGAAATTAGTAATTTTTCCAGAAATTGTGAACAATTAAGTAAAGAACCGAAGGATGAAAACGAAAACTTTGATTGTTTTGCAGAAATACTTGGAACTTAAAAAATGACCTTTTTTTGTCATTAGTATGTTTCAACTATTGAGATTTACAGGGAGATATTTGCCGCCTAATTGGCACCATGAATTGAATGATGTCGAGAAAGAAGGAATACATCGGGAAGTATTAAATAATGTAAGGAATTATAATGTTGGCAGTTTAAGTAATGGTTGCCTCATGCGAATATCACCTTTAGCTATCTATTCTGTCAATATTACATCCATACGACGGTAATTTTTCATGTTTCTGATTGAATATAATTGATTGTTATCAATTGCATTTAATCAGTAGTATTGTTAATCCCGTTGAACATTAGATTTTTTTTTTTCATTTCATCAAGTGTTTAATAAGAAATTGCTAATAATTCAAAGACTTGAAGAAAAATTAAATGACTTAATTTTTTTCACGTGCAGATTTCAAAAATTTCAAAGAAGTTACTACTTCAATTAATATGTTTATCCAATTTCTTCAATATTTATGTATTTCAAGTTACTCAACAAAGTGACATTCTACTTTTCTGCAAATCTTTTCCTTACTAATTGATGATTGGTTGCCAGTTATAATCGATTATAAGTCAAATTTGGGCATATGCAAGCTAAAAATGTACAAGCAATTTGTGTTAATTATACTGTGATAGTTTGCAGTTTATTTGTTAACAATTTTCGCAAGATTTTCCGCAGTGATTTTTGATCCTCGACATCTGTGAAATCCATTCTGTTTCTGATATCTTTAATTTCAAAATTTATTGGAATTTAGGATAGAAGAAATGGCTCGTGCAGATTGTTCACTTACACATTATGAAGAAGACACTAAACAAGCCGTATTTTCGTACGTTATTGCGATACGACATTTGCTTAATGGGAAGAGCAACAAGGTTATTTATTTTGTTTAAGAGGAAATTGTGAATCGTGGAACATTTCTTGAAGTATGAGATTTTCGAGACTGACTACAAATATAAGGCAGAGATTATTGCCTTGCCAGAAGCCGTACATTATTGATTAATAATTCGAAATTATCGATAAACGATAAAGTACTTTTGTTAACTATTATCATTTGCTTTCATATGCTGATTACTGCCCATTTGCTAGTAAGCTGTTTGATGGTGTTATTCAGAGAATGTTGATGCATAGAATGTGGAGATTTTTATGAAATTGTTAATTATTAAAGCATAAACTAGGTCAGCTTCAGTTAATAAACGTGCATTAGCTTCAATTAAGTCAGTTTTCAGTTCAATGAGTGATATATCAGAATTATTTTAATCTACGGTGATATTAGAAAGGTGAAGTTTTGTCATCGTCAAAATGAAAAATTGACGGTTGGTATTTATATTTTGACATATGATTATATCCGACGCGAAAATTTCGAGATTAAACTTTAAATTTGATATAGGAAGCATTTGAGGCAGCACTAAATGCTACTCAAAGCATACGTATCCGTGAACATCTGCTGACAGCTCGAGAAAAGCCTGTCCCTGTAAATATTGGGGATCAATATGTGGATGGTGATGGAAAAGCGATGGGATATATTGGAGTTGCATTGCAGGTTTATTTTTATTTGCCTTATAAAGTACCCATTTATTGTAAGGATGTGTTTCCATAGAAATTGATAGAATGAAGGATTGATAAGATGAATTATGCACTAAATGTTTGAATAGAAACCGGATCAGAAATGGATGACAAAAAAAGGCATTCCAGAGTGCTTTTTATGAACTTCTTTATGGCAAATCGTTTACGAAGTCATTAATTGACACAATATCACGTGGAGGTGATACCGATACAAACGCTGTCATCGTTGGAGCTTTAGTTGGTAAATTTTTTTAAAAAATTCGAAAAATTCAACATTTACCTGTCTCATGGTATTAAGTATATTTGGATATTTACCTGTCTCATGGTGTTAAGTATATTTGGAAGGTAGTATGTTAAATGTTGGCTTATTATTTGGAGAGCAACAAATGATTGCCATTAAATCACTTGGAGTAATTTTTTCATTTGATAATCTTTTGTTGATATCAAATTTGTCATATTGACAGAAACGGAAATTTGATTTTCTGTGACTTACAACTACATATTGCATTATCCCAAAGTAATTGCAATAATGATATACTGGTAAATGATTTATTTTTTCCGTAATGTTTTCTTGCACTGGATGAGGTCTTTTAGGTGCACGATTTGGCATTGATAATATTCCAGAGAAATGGATTAGTACAGTAAAGGAAAGTAAACCACGAGCTAATTTGAATACAATCGATTATAATGTAGAACGAATTGTTAACAAATTACTGATGTTGAGTTAATCTTCTTTTACCTTTCTTCCCTTACCTATTTTTTTTTACTTCTTCACTTGTTTTAAAAGTTTAGTTTCGATAAGCAAAGATAATTCGTGCATAGCGTATTATTACACTTCTCATCCGCGGATTGAATTCGCCACCTATAGCATGGAATTTCTGATTGGTTTGTGATTTGTAGTAGTTGTGAAAATAAATATCATGTAACATTTGGCAGATAAAAAGGTGATCAGCAAATTATATGCTTTATCTCTTTTTTTTTTATTGATAAACACTAAACGAAAAATCCTTTGCAAACTACCATATCATGTATTATGTGGTGGCGGTGATAACCTACTGATTATGTACTGGAATTATTCTTCCCATACTAGATCCACTCTAAGAAACATTTGACAACTGTAGTGCATATAATTTTGGATTATTTTACTTTGATATAAATTATTAATTGTTATGTGTGCCAGGTATAGGCTGAAAAATAGGGTAATAGGGCGAGAAAGATTTTTATGTGGCATATTTGTTAGATAAATGTTATATTAACGATTATTTGTTGCATAGCTTGCAATTATTGCAGTTAGGTAATCTGTCTATTTCCATCATTGGTAATATAATGGTTTAATTAATGCTTGTTGTTTGAGCGAAGTATAGGATGGAAAATAAAACAATAGAAGAAAGAAGATTTCCACAAAGCATATTTATTAGGCAAGTATATTATATTACCAGTGATGGAAAATTAATGACTATCATTTGTGGTGCTGTTATTATTAAATGATCTTTTGTTGATCTAACCTATGTCACACCACACTTTCTTATTTCTATTGTATTTAATGTTATATTAATCATTGGTAATGTCTCTACCATGTAATGTATATGTAATTAATAAGGTAAAAAAATATTAAAAAGACCTTTCATATAGAACATCAATCTGCTTTAACAAAAAGTGTAAAAGTTTTTTTTTTTATTAGCGTAGAAATTTTTCTGTATTGCACTTCTATGGGTATAGAAAAAAAGAAGCAAATGTAACCAGTTACTTTTCATGCTAATTTATAACTTAAAAACATTCTTTTGATGTGAAAAACATTTAATTCCATATTACTTGTAATCTTAAGTTGATGAATACCAGATTTAAGTACTTCAAAAATTGATACTAGCAGTATGAATGTTTGAAATTTAATTAATTCATTGAATTTCATTCTTTTAAATATTAAGGGTATGATAAATTTGAGAATTTATCAGATATTGCAATGGTAATTATTACTGTTGATATATTAATTAATTAGTTTCATCTATTTTACCAGTGACTTATTCATCTTTATCGCATCATATAGGTGCAAAGATGATGTGTATTTGCTGGAATAGTACTGCAAAAAATTATCACACTACTTTGTAATCATTAATTAATTACATATACATTTCCTTTATTTTACATGAAATTTGAAAGATTTTTGCTAAACGTGTGTCATCTTTTCAACATCTATTACATAAGAGTTATTAAACATTTTGGAGATTTTCTTTTTTGTTGTTAAAATTTCAAATTAAAACTGCGAATGTTTTCGATGAATTGAAATTTACTTTTGAACTCGGGATTAAATTAAATTTGTCAATATTTTTATGCTATTTCAGATCCTTTTTTTCTTGAGATGAAAATGCTGTTAATAAAGTATTATTGAGTGCTACAAAAAAAAGGTCAAATTTCTGCATCCATTTTAATGGCAGTCAATTTGTAAAGACATTTTGATAACAAAATAGTTGTTGACAAAATTTTGGTGACAAAATAGTTATAATACAATGGCTCTTAACAAAATATAATTATAATAATTTCAGGATAGAGAAAATGAAGTGAGAAAAACAATTGTTGCATTCAAAAAATTGGTAAGTTTTCCTTTGAAATAAAAATTTTTATTTGAATAAGACAAGGCTTTGTTTACCTGTAATGTTGTTAATGATTTGCTATCATACACTTTGTTTTTCTCATTAAATTCTTGTTTCCTTTTCACCTCCTTATTCTTTCTTTTTCTTTTGTTATCACTGATAGTGATGAAATCGAAAAGTAACCTAAATATTAATCATTAATGTTTTAAAAAAAAGGAAATAATGCTTGGAAGTTGTCGTATTAATTAACAATTTAATATAAAAGTTTCGTAAATTGTTCTCTTCTCTTTTTTTCGTTTAGTAATTATTCTATTAAAAATAATATGCTAAGATTTTATGCTCATTTTCCTCGGTTTTGTTTTTCCTTTTTTATTATTTCTATTTTTGTAATCTTTTTCATTAAATTTTTTTTCGTTACCGTCGACGATATATTTTAAAAAATGGAAATTTCAGATTTCACTTAAATTTTTATTCAAAACGTTTTAAAATTTCGAAACACTAACCATTGTCTACATGATATAATAATGATTCATACACTCATTCCATAGCAAATCATTTAGTCAAGAAATCGTGAGATGGAGGATCGTATAATCTCTGGGGAATTTCACGGTACAGAATCGTACAGATGAGAGGAATTTGAGGAAACATGCGATGCAGAACCATGTAGTTGAGGAATCATATAGAGAATCATATAGCTAAGAAATCATATCATAGCGAATCATAGAATTATGGAATCATATCATGGAGAATCATATAGTTAAGGAATCATATGTTACTGTTTTCCTTAATGTCATCTCGCCACAAAAGATACGATGAGATATGGTGACAGTATGTCCTTTTTGAGAAAACAGTCGATATTGATAAAGGAAAAAGATATGAATGATTATATTTTTCCACTTATTGTCAAACTTTTTTCGATGAAAAAAAAGAAAGAGAACTACAAATATTAATACTTTTTATCATATCCGTGAATTTCCTCTTTCTTCTCCTTTGGATCAATTAATATTTCATCAATTTTTTTTTTCGGAGAAGAAATTTTTTCGAAATATGTAGAAATTAAAAAATCAATAAATGAATTGAACTAAATGTAATAAAGTGAAAAGGGTGAATAATTTATAAGTAAAAAAGGAAAAAATTAAAAGGAAAAGGAAATTTAAAAATTTTTGATAATTTTTTTTTTTTGCTTTTGGAAGTAAAGAAGGGCGAAGAAACAAAATCTCTCTTTTTATTATTTTGCTGTATATTTGGTGACATTTTCCAGTGTCATCGTAACTTCAACAAATTTCCTGTCACTATTGTTGTTAATCATCAACTCGGTGAATTCTCTCACAAACATACACCCGCACTGCTCACTAATTCCCCCCTTTTTTTTTAACAGTTTCATCATTTATCAGAAACAGTTAATGCATTAGTCATCTTCAGATTATTTCTTGTAACAACAACGAACAACAATAACAATAAACAAACAATAACAACAACAACAACGGCAACAACAGCAAACAATAACAACAGCGAACAACAACGAGCAATTGTATTCAACAAAAATGTATTCCATTTCATTACGGTAGGTTTTCGTGTAAAATTCCAATCTTATTTCATTCGAAAAAGTTTTTCATTTTGTCAAAGCTATCATAAACTTTAAGAAAATTGTTATTTTCCTTAATCTTTTCATCTTTTCCTTTTTCCATTTCTTTGATTTCAACTTTAATAAAACTAAAAAACAATATCAATTCATTGGGTAATCTCTGTTATCTTCATCTTATTGTTCTAATAACTGCTAAATTAGTTGAAAATGAATTAATCCATAATTTTTAAAATTGCAAAATTTTGTTTTATTATAGTAATTCAATGATTTAAGCTATGATATTTTGATAGCTATTTATCGTCTTCCTTTCATTTATTGAAATGTCAATATGGTATACGAAATATTTCTTAAAATATCCTTTAAGAAATGAATGAAATTTATTGTCATCGCTATTGTCACCATTGCTCTTCTCTTCTTTTTCTCGTCTTTTTCTCCCTTCCTCTTTTTCTGTTTTTCCTGTTACTTTTACAGCGACAATATCCTTCTAATGGTAGGTTAATTTGCACTATAAATCGATATAATTTATTTTTTTAATAATCAGAATAATTACTTTCATAATAATAACAAATAATACATCGGTTGGTCTTTTTTTAGTTTAATTTGGATATAATTTTGTGTTAATTTTAATTAATTAAATTAATTTGATCATAAAATTATGTATTCAAGTGACAAATGATCGTTAATTTTCATCTTTCAAAAACAGAATTGATTGTTTGATAACAGTGGAATCAATTAGTTAATAATGCCAATTAAGGAATAAACCAAAGTTTTTCTTTTTTCTGGTTTTTGATCTAATTTGCATACAATTTTAGTGCAAACATACTTTTGCAATGATTTAACTGTAATTTTTTATGAAATAAATGTTTTATGCGATGCAAAGGCAATTTTGATATATAAATTTTAAATTCAAACTATGAAGTATAAATTTTAAGTATAAATTTTAATTTATTATAACTAAACTTAAACACTAATTTAAGCATTTGTTTAACAATTTTAAGTATAAATTTTAATTTATTATAACTAAACTCAAACACTAATCAAAGCATTTGTTTAACAACATAAAATAAGTTTGTTTATTTGTTATAGTACAATAGCTTATTTGATAAACATTGAAATTTATGAAAACGTTGAAATCCTTAGCGAAGTAATTAGATGAAACACATAAATGAAATAATAAAAAATAAAAATTTGCTTAATTTTTAAAATTATTAGTTTTTGCTCGATGTTCAATCAAATCAGCTGACATATGCAAATATAATGGCGCATTTGCTGCTGATCCATTAATTTATCAAGTATTACTATCAAGTATTACATTAATTTATCAAGTATTATCATTAATTTATCAAGTATTACTATCAAGTATTACATTAATTTATCAAGTATTATCATTAATTTATCAAGTATTACTTTACAGATATAGTAATTTTGCTAAAATTCAAAAAATTGTAACAGCAATTTCTGCTAAAATTTCGAAACTTTGTGTTGGCAATGATTATCAAACAATTATTACAAAATAAGTACTTCGAAGTTTCCTTACTGCTCAAATAGTTGAAATGATGAGCGCAAGCTGTCGTTTTCTGCAATCTAGTTTTCTTTTTTTTTGTTATGCGTCACAAATTCGAATCAAGAAATGTTTCCTTATTTGTTTTTGTAAAATAACAAAAGATGACATTCTGAAATGACAATTCTTTTTATACTAAAAAAAGATTTGTCGATCTTTTTCATCTTTTCAGCATATTTTAAATGTGGAAAATTGTCAAATTGATAGGATGGATAACATTGAATTTGTCATTGTTTTATCTGCATAGACTGATCTGATTTGACAAGAAAAAGGATCAGTCTTAATTAGATCAATCTTAAATTGGCCATTGTTTTCTTTTCTGATGACAAACATTTTCAATCTTTAATCTTTTTTAATCTTCATAAACAAAAATAATTTTGCAAATTACAATTGTACTGCATTTTTTTCTTCAATATTCTTTATCAAATGGATTTTTAATATTTGAAAATTCCCTCCATTAATTTACTAACTTATTTTAAATTCAAATCAGAAAAAAATACTCGAATTTATTTCTCAGTTAATACTGCTTTATTGATTTAATTTTAATTGACAGAAAACAGAAAATGAAATGGGAATTAAAAATGATATAACCATATTTATTATTAAAGTGATATGGCCATATTTCTTATAAAAATGATATGGCTATATTTATCATTAAAATGATATGGCTATATTTATCACTGAAATGACATGGCTATATTTATTTTATCTAGATAATATAAAATATTAAAAACCCGCTGTTTTTGTTTTTGTCTGCATTATGGAACAATTTAATTAAATACCAATAAATTGGGCCTCAATTTTTTTTTTTATTTGTTACCTTTTTTCGTTAAATTTTTTT